GGTGCCATGAGACCAGCCTCTTCCAGTAGCAGCACCTGGCCCCTGCAAGGGTGACCCCAACACAAACCCCTTCTCCCCTCTCTGCAGCTAGCTCTGGAGCAGCCAGGAGCAACCTCCAACATGGGGGGAGGTCAAGGTGAGCACTGCCCTCCCCTGGCAACTTCAGAAGCTGACCCATGATCCACATTGGAATGTGGGACCAGGCTGGGATCTGGGCAGAGCCAGAGGGTTCTGGGCCTCGGCCAGGGATGGGGGGGCTGAATCCTCCACATAGAGTGGACTGTGCCCGGCCAGCCCCACAACTATATTGGCATTAACGTTATCAGCACCATTTTCTCAGGGACAAACCTCTATTTTGTAGTCATAATACCTCCCCCCACCCCCCAATTGAGGTGTGGGTGATTCAGACCCCAGCCCCTCAAACCTGCCCAAGGACCCCCGGGAAGGGGTTCAGCTCCCCCTTACTCACTGCGTACTGGAACTTCTCGTTGTACTCCCGTGCATTGGCTCGCACTCGACGTTCTTCCTCTGCAACACAGCGCTCTGTGACCCCGATGCACCCCGACACTCTCTACATCTGCAGTCGGGCAGCTCCAAGACCCTGAACCCTGACACCCCAATCTCCTCTCCATCCTGAGAGCCAAGCTAGTCCCAGAATCCCACAATGCAGAGAACAGGGAGTCTCCCCACCTGTGTCATGTGGCCCCATGCCACCTGTACCCCTGCACACCTGGAACCCCAGCCTTGCTTAACTGTACCTCCACCCCCAAATTCTGCATCTCCAGATTCCCCCAAGCCTGCAATGCCAGACCCTCAGCTCTACTTACCTGTACTCCCAGAGCCTCAGATTCTTCATCCCGTCTGGCTTATCTGCTCCCCCAGCTCAGCACCCCGATGTCACCAGACCCTTCCAGCCCTGCACCCCCATCTCTGCATCCCCCAGCCCCCATTTCCCCACCGCCGTGCCCACCCCGCATCCACCCGCCCGGGGGGGTCACGGCGGTCACGGGGACGGGGGTCACTTCTCAGACATGTCCCGGGGCACGGCCCCGGCCCCGTACCCGGCCCCAGATGCCGCTGCCGGCCCGGCCCGGCCCCGCCCCGCCGCGTTACTGGGGCAACGGCCGCGCTGGGGCCCGACCGGGACCCGCCCGGGCCTCCCCCGGGCCTCTCCCGGGCCCACCGCGGCCCCGCTTACCCGGGGCTCGGCGGGCCGCGCACCACTCCATGTCCCGCAGCCCATGGGGAGCGGGCGGGCGGCCGGGCCGGGCCGGGGCCGCTGCCTCTGCCGCCGCCTCAGCTCCCCATGGCCGCGGCGGCGCCGGTCGGCGGCGGAAGTGAGGTGGGGGCGCGGGGAAGCGACGGAGCGCGGCCGCGGGGGGCGGCCCAGACCGCAGCCCCGGGGGCGTCCTGGCCGGCGGGGCGGCTCCAGCGGGTCCCGGGGGCCAGAGAAAGCCCCACGGGTTGCCATGGGGCAGTGCCGGGGATCCCGGGGACAGCCCCACATCCCAGTGGAGTAATCCCCACGCTAGCAGCACATGTCTCCCAGGCTGGGGTCCCCCTGCAGGCAGGCCTGGGGCTGGGGGCCACGGCCTCCACCACATCCTTGCACCCCCATGTCCATAGACAAGACACCCTGTGCCCTCAGGACTTCCAGTGGTGTGCCAGGGATTGTGGGGGAGACTGTGCTGCTGGTGCATTTCTATAAACAGCTATGTAACAGTTGGAATTCGCTACAATTTATTCGCTTTTAATAAAAATTGTAATTGCTTACAAACACTTGTAAGTTTCAACTGCTCTTAGTTGTAAAAATAGCTGACAAAGACTGCCCAGTTCAAGTACAACAATACCCACTTTCTTTAAAGGAGAGAAAAGGATTGTATACGGTAATTCAAGAATTACTTAAGGATGGGACTTCAGAACCATGCATGTCTCTTCACAATACACCTATATTACCAGCAAAGAAATTGGATGGAACCTACTGGTTTGTCCAAGAGCTGACAGAAGTAAATAAAATAAATATACATTGATACCCAGTAGTACCTAATCCCTCTATTAAAATAAATAAAATCCCTCTATTGCATCAGTAGTTTAGTATAATAGACCTCAAAGATGCCTTTTGGGCTTGTCCCCTAACAGAAGAAAGTAAAGACATATTTGTTTTCACCGAATTATCCCAAAGATTTATCAAATCCTCTAAGTTATTTAGACAAGCCTTGGAAGAGGTACTGCAACATTTCCCTAGTGTGCCAGAGGTAAAACTTAACCCATATGTTGATGATTTACTTCTCTTAGGAAAAAATATGAGGAAAAAGTCTGAGACTTTACTATAGAGTTACTAGGGGGCTTTTTTGGGAACCAAGGACTCAAACAACAATTGAAAAATTATATAGGAATCTTGAGGTTAGGAAAAACATGTTTGTAAATTTATGGGAGAGAATCAGTAAAGGACTAAATGTTACCAATTGTTGGGTGTGTGGGGGAGCTCTGATGACAGAGGAATGGCCATGGAAAGGTAATAGCCTAGGCATGCTTGAACTTCTCAAATGGAACTGAGCTAACATAAAAGAAGAAAGCAGGCCCGAAGGGTGGATTTTGAGTTCCAAAGTAGTAGGAGATGAATGCCTCTGACATATCGGGAAAAGATTCCTAAAAAGAGTAGGACAAACTTCCTGTAAAAGATACAAAATTTTTAATGGAACTTCTGTGTAGTAGATCCCTGAAGGACTCACACAGTGTTGAGCTCAAGAGAGAAAAAAGAACTGTAGATATAATAAAGAAATTGAACTTTTCTTGTGCAATGATACTAAGAAGAATCCCTATTCAGGGATTTCTGAATTATCAAAATTCTGGAAAAACATAAATCATCAAAGCCATGATTATTGGAAAGCACCAGATGGCCTATTCTGGATATGTGGGAAAAGGGCTTATCCAAAACTCCCTCCCCAGTGGAAAGGAGGTTGCACTCTAGGAATTATACAGCCAGGATTTTTCCTTTTACCAAGCTGGGATGGAAATAACCTAGGAGTACCTAGCTATGATGCTTTAAAAAGAAACAAAAGGGAACAAAACTAACTGAAGAGACTGGGAGGACACCCCATCTTTACTGGGGTAAAGATGAATGGCTTCCTGAATGAATAATACAAACATATGGACCAGCCACCAGGGCCCATGATGGAAGCTAGGGATATCAAACCCCAATTTATATATTAAACTTTATTATAAGACTCCAAGCAGTTGTAGAGATTATAGTGAATAAACAGCCCAAGGCCTGGAATTAATAATCAGTAAACAAAGACAAACCAGAGCTACAGTATATAAAATTGATTTGCTTTAGACTATTTGTTGGCAGAAGAGGGAGGAAAATTGTGGAAAATTTAACTTATCTGATTGTTGCCTGCAAATTAATGATAACTGGGATACAGTTTTGGATATAGCAAAAGACATTTGGAAAATAGCTCATGTACCAATCAAACAGTGGGAATCTATAATTGATAAAGGATGGTGGGAAGGCTTCTTTGGGACATCCTGGTGGAAAAAAAAAATATTCATAATGCTTTGTGATATAACAAGTTTAATTTTTCTTCCGTGTCTTATTTGCCTAATTACTCATGTAGTTCAAAGTATGCAGGTTGTAACAATGCCCACTAACCCCAAAAAGGCTATGATGCTAAAGAAGAATAATATTAAAAATCTAGAAGAAGCACTCATGATTTATGAAAGATACAAGTATACAAAGGACATAAAAGCTGAAAATTATAACTCAAGCCAAATATAGTAAGAAAAAGCAAAGGGAGGTTAGTTATAAACAGCTATGTAACAGTTGGCTTTTGCTACGATTTATTCACTTTTATTAAAAATTGTAATTGCTTGCAAACAATTGTTGTAAGTTTCAACTGCTCTTCAGGAATAGTAAAATTTGTAATTGCCTGTAAAATGTCTCGTGATTCTTTTCCTCAGGGTTGGGATTAATAAGCAAGAGATAGTATTCTTGTTCGGACTCAGAGATGTTTATTTAGTTTCTTATCTATGTTACATTCTCACAGACTGTGAGTTTTTCAGCACACTAAGCTAACAAACTAAAAATGGAGCCTTAGATTTCTCTCTACCAGGCCTTTTAAGTGTAAACTACCCAATTATAAAATGCCAACTAATTTATATTTACTTTTAACCTAATAACCAAACACCTGTGTTTCACACTGAAGACTTTTCCACCCAGTCACATATCATCACCCAAACCCATGATGAAGAAGGTGAAAAAGCAAGGCAAGCCTATGCTTTAAAACTTCAATTTTGCTACATACATATTACTATATCCTAAAACCTTAAACTCTATATTTTCCACCATGTGATATAGCACATTTCTATTCAAACTACACATTAACAATCTCGGTTCCATTACTCAATTTTGGAAGCATTTTTTACAGCTTCAGGTCAAACATAGTGTTCTCTTGCAGGTCAATGCCTGTTAGCACAGAAAGCCTGAAATTCTTTGTGCCTAGGTTTCTAACAATCACTTCTGTGCAAAAAAAAAAAATGGGGAGGGGAAATGCATAAAGCGAGGCTATTATAAGAAGCAAGCATGCTTGTGAAAGGCATATCACAAGATATAGCTGCTATTGCAAAATGTATATCCAAGATAGCACAGGCAGAGAACAGAATACCATAAAAGGAAAATATCAAGTCTAAAGTGGCATCAGAAGACCACCAGAAGACCATCCTAAACTGCCTATATGATGAATGTGACAGACTCTCAGACATTGTAACTGTGGCCATGTGAAATGCTGTAGCAATGTGAGGTGGGGTTGTGATAAAGGGACTCCAAAAACCTGCAAAGTCATTTGAGAAAGTAGTGCAACTGTAATAGTATAAAGGACTGATGGCTGACAAAGTGGGTGTGTCTCTGGCATTGCCAGCACCCAGCACTGTAGCTTTTGCTATAATAGTTGTCTCTCATTATCTTTCATTAAAGTCTTAAATAGAGGAGTGAGCTTCATTTCTCACACGCACGGTGGAGGAGGATACCCGGCAGGCACTGTCTCCTCAGTGTCCTTCTCCTTGGGTGACATCCCAATGTCTGGCTCGATGGTGGTGTTGACTAGAACGATGGAGCCCTGCTCTGCCAGGACTTCGCTATCCTCCTCCGGGTAGTGGAAAGCCACAAAGAGCTGGTACAGGGATGTGCCCACGGCGGCCCCCAGCAGCGGTGCTACCAGTGGCACCCACCACCATCCATTGCCCCTGCTGAGGATGGGACAGGGTGGGCTGGGGATCACCCCTGCCATCCCCACCTCACCCCCTTCCCTCTACCCACCTGAAGACCTCCAGGCCCCAACCTGCCAGACAGATGAAAAGCCGGGGCCCGATGTCCCGCGCAGGGTTCAGGGGGCAGCCACAGTTGGCCCCCATGGAGCACTCAATGGAGAGCACCAAGAGAGCCACAACCACTGGTTCAAGGCCCTTGGGGACAGCCTTGTTGCGGGTGTCCATGAGGCCCATGACAACCAATATCAGCACCCCTGTGCCAATCACCTGCAAGGACAGCGCAGCAGCTCAGCACTGTGGGGACTGAGAGGGCTGGGGGATCTGACAGTGGCACCCACCTGGTCCAAGAAGCCATTGGCGACGGAGACATAGTCAGCTGGGTAGGTGACAAAGATGGAGGCAGTTTCTCGGGGGCCAAAGGCAGTAAGGGTCCCATTGCTGTAGTGCCAGATGGCATCTGGGAGCAGAGCATGTCATAAGCCTGGCCACCCCAGCATCACCTTGCCCAGTTACCTTGCCCAGTGCTGCTCCCCCATACCATAGTAGAGGATATAAACAGCTCCAGCAGATATGAAAGATCCCAAGGTCTGCACAACCACAAAGATGGGAAACTTCCACCAGGGAAACTGCTCGATCAGGCACATGGCTAAGGAGAATGCTGGGTTCATGTGGGCCCCTGCAATAGAGTAGTGAGAAGGGCTGGGTCTGGTGGGTCCTGGGGGACTCAGAGCCAGGGATAGCAAGAGCTGGGACCCCTTCTTCTGTCTCACCAGAGATTCCCCCTGCTACGTAGATGCCTGCCATGACACCCAGGGCACTTCCCAGGTAGCTGGTGAGGAGGTTCCCCTTCGTCTCAAAGAAGGTAGTCTTCTGTGCAGCGCTGCTCAGTGTGATTGTCTGGAGAAGAGGGATGTAGCCCCACCTCAGCCCTGGTGTCCTTGTGCTGAGACCCTCCCACTGCTGATGCTGCAGGGCAGCAAGGCGAAGGCTACACTGGTGCTGACACCCCTGGGTTTTGTTCCCCAATATTTGGACATCTGACAGGGACTGACAGGGAGGTGGTTTACTGCCCTCACTTGTAGTTTTGATGGCAAAATAACCAAATAACAAGCAATTAAGTAAACTGCTTTCTGTGGGGAGGTCTTGGGGAAGAGGTGCCACATCACAGGCCCAGGGACACCACTTGCCATTGTGGGATGCAGCCCAAATGCTGAGAATAGCACCAGAACCCCAACCTTTGCCTGCGCTGAGGCAGGAGGTACTGAGGCACACACTGCCCAGCACCACACCCTGATTGCACCAGAGCCATATATCACAGGGAGGACCATGCTGTGAGAACAGGGTCCAAGTGGGAGAACAGGCAGTGCTGAGTTACACATTTGAGTGTGGCACAGCCCCAAATCCCTCCAATACCAAGGGGCAAGCAGCAGCGCAGCAGTGTTGTAGTGCATCTGAAAATCCTGGTATCTCCCAAGAGTAAAACTCACCTCCGGTTTGTGTAATGTGAGTTCCTACCTGAGAACCTTTTTCCCTTCCCCCTTCCCATTGGTTGTGACTTCCCTGTATCCCCCGATCACCCCCGCCCCCTGGTATAAGAGATAAGACCCAGGACATTTCGGTCTCTTTCTTGCCCCGGATGGACGACAGACAATAAACCCGGGATTATTCCAGCAAATTTGAGCCTCCTGTGTCTAGATACTTTGAGTCCGTGTTGTATCCACTCCAGGACCCCCTCCGCCGCCCCTGTCCTGAGACCAGCGGGGCTCTCACCACAGGGGGTGGGACAGAGGGGTCTCCGAGAGAGGATTGCAACACAGCAGAACCCTGGAAGACCTGGTACGTGGACCACCCCACCATCAGCCCTGTCCCACCCACATGACCCTCTCCCCCCAGCCACAGCCCCAGCCCACCTGCAGGCCCTGCTTACCATCATCACGAAGGTGGCCAGCAGCTCAGCCAGGCATTCCCGCACCAGCTGATTTCGGATGCGGAGCAGACCCCGGGCCCTTGTCAAGAAAGACGTGGTGCCCATAGTGCTGACCAGGCAGGGGCAGCAATGACAGGACTGGCTGCAGTGGCAGCACTGAGTGGAGTAGATGTCTCACTCACATTCATAAGCAGGTTTTACGAGCCCCAGAGCCAGGTGGATGATAATGCGCAGACTTTAAACCAATCATGGCTGCACCAAGGGAAATGTCTGGTGGGGACCAGAGTCCTGTGTGGGGCCAGGATCACCTTGTGACAATGCTGCACCCCAGTAGGGCCTGGCTGGGTGGGAGCAGTCTGATGCTCAGTTGGCTGTGGGGATCCAAGACCTCCCTCCCAAGATGAGCAGGCACAGGTATTTCCCGGCCAGGAACCCCCTTTGGCCCTGCCACATCCCTGCCCAAGCCACAGATGCAGTCAACACTAATAAAGAGGTCCTGGAAAGGCCTCTGGGCTGGGCCAGGCCCTCAAGAGTGGCCCAGGTGAGGCATTAGCACAGCATTGGGCAGGGAAATGGGAGAGGGAGGTAACAAGGGAGCAGTGCAGGCACAGGAGCCTGGCAACCACCAGCACCCCTAGAGGGAGCCCCTTAGAGTCATCCTGGTGGACAGGGGCAATCTGCCTCCAAATGCGGGAGATTCCAGTCTGAAGGAGCACGGAAGGTCACCATTTAGCATAAATAGACTTTATTGCTCTGTACACACATACACCTGGCCCCTACAGGGGTCCCTGTGGCTCTGCAGCACTGCAGAAGGTGGGCAGCCTCCAGCCCAGGCACCACTTCCCAGCAAGATCTTCCCAGCAAGATCTGACCCATCTACAACAAAAACAGGTGGTGAGAAGAGGCTGCTACCCACTGCCTGCTCTGACAGGCCTAGCAAGCCCAGGGTCCCCCGAGCCTGCAGCTGTCAGACATACGGGCTGCTCAGTCAGGACTGGCCACAGCTACCAGCTCGAGAACCAGCGTCGGAAGAAGCTGCCCAGCGCAGATGAGGGGTCGCTCAGGTTGGCAGCATGAAGCTCATCTTGCTGCGGCCACGTGACAGCGAACTGCGCCAGCTCCCCTGGGAGGGTAGGGAGAACTCTGTCAGTGGGGCCCCTGTCCACTCCTTGCATCCTCCCCAGAACCTCACTCACGGTCATCCATGTTGACCACCTCCTCCCGGTAGTCCTTCTTCTGCCCATCCTCCTTGGTGGTGGTGATGAAGGCCTGGTCCCCCCTCCGGCGGGTGACTGTTGTCTCCCAGCGGCCCTGGCTGTCCTGCACAGTGCGGTGCTCCTCTACTGCCTGTGCAGAGTGCCGAGCCCTGAGAGACTCCCCAAGCACAGGGACTGCATCTCAGGTCTCCTACAGCCCTGCTGCACCTGCAGGGAGGGACACTTACCCCATCAGGAAGAGTCACTTTGGTAACAGAGACGCTCTGGAAGTAAGAGTGGGACTTGGGCTCATTTGGTCTCAGGATGGTCCCCAGCCCCACGGAGGAGACCTGTGAGTCCAGGTCTGTGGGGAGATGTAAGATGGTGGCCACAGCATGGGGACAAGCCCCAGAGGCTGTGGCAACACAGGCAGGTGGAGCAGTGAGGGCAGAGGCCCTCAAGCCCTTGTCCCCGGCACCCACCTTGGTCTTCCTTGAGGCCAGGAGGAGCCTGGTGAGCATCTCCCAGCTGCAAGACAAAGCCATGTACCACTGATGCCAGTGACGGAAGGCAAAACACGACACTGGGGCAACACTGCAACAGCAGAGCTGGCTACCGTTGTTGAGCCTACAGGAGGCAGACTCCAGACCCCTCACTCACCCCTAAGAAGGGTCTCCATGGCTGGGCCAGATCGCCGGCATCCCCGGAGCTCCCCGGGGCTGCGCGGGAAGGGGGACTGTCCGGCTGCTTCAGCATCGAGTCCCGCAGTGGTCGCCTTGCGCTGCCTTCACCGGGGCCGGGCACGGCGGGCTCTGGGCAGCAGAAGGGCGTTGGTCAGGCCGAGGGGCTCTGAGCGGCCCCAAGAGTCACGCTCAGCCCTTCCCGTACCCACCGAAAGGCTGCTGGGGCTCGGGCCAGAAGCCCCCCAGGACCCCTAGGAGCTCGCCCATGTCCCGGAATAGCTCCTCGAAGCCGCCGCGGGACGAACCAGGGCTGAATCCGAAGCCGAAGTCCTGGGGGGGCTGCGACATGGACGGGCCGCCATCCTCCTCCTCCTCGTCCCACACCGCGCCGCCGAACAGCGGGTCCCGGGGTCTGCGGGACCGCGACAGTGAGACACCCGGACAGCCCGGAGCAAGCGGGGAGGGCCGGGGCCGGTGGGACAACTGGGGGTTGAGAGGGGCAGGGTTTGTGTAGGCAGGGCCCGGGTCACGGCTACCTGCACCGTCCCGGGAACCCGAAAAAGCCGCGAAACACGTCGAAGAAGCTCATCCCGCTCCGGGTCCCTCCGCGTCCCGCTCCTCCGTCCTGCCGCTGCGACCGGGCCGCGCGGCCGTAAAGCGCCGCAGCCGTAGAGCGCCGCCGGGTGTCGCGAGGCGCCGCGGCAGCGGGGCCCGTCCCGTGCCGGGGCCCTGCGAGACCGCCGTGGGCCGGAGTCCTCCCGTCTGCTCAGCCCAGGCCCGGCCGCACGAGCTGCCCCGGGGAGTGCGTGTCGGGGCCTCCCGTGGGGGCAAGTGCTGCTGGAACCGGCGGGCGAGGGCTCCATCGAGCCCTCCTCTGTGCCCCCAGCTGAGCTCCGTGAGCCCATCTCAGCCCTGCCGCTCCCCCACCAGGCCCACACGGCACAGGAGGGCTCCAACTTTGCCCCCAGAGCACCAGCCCCTTACCTTGCAGCGAGGAGGCTGAGAGGGAGCACAGGGCCAAGGGCAGCTCAGTGGCTCCAGGGACAGCCACTGCTTCCTCCGCAGCAGTGGTCTCAGTGCCCCCCCCTGCACCTGCGACCACCCTCCCGTGACTGTCCCAATGACCTTGTGGGGAGGAGGAGGCTGGGGAGAGCACCCCTCAACCTCCAAAAGGAGGACCAGTAGCACCAGAGCAGTAAGGACATAAGGCAGAGCACAGTAGGAGGCAGAAATGAAAGGTGAGGGTCTCAGAGAAGGGAGGGGTAGGATTATCCCTGTGCTGGCATCCTGCTGCCCAGTGCTGCAGCTGGGAAAAAGAAAAATCCACAAAAGGAGGGGATAAAAACACCAGCAAGAAGTTGGGGAAGGGTGGGGGAAGCACTGCCCCCACTGCCCAGGACTGCCCACCCCCTACACCAAAAATAGGGAACAAGGCTGAGAAGGTGGAAAAAATACACACATCACTTTGTGATCTTTATTCTCTTCAGTAAATCCCCGCTCGGGGCTGCAGCTGAAGGGATCAGGTGGAACTGAAAAATACAAGATCTGGACTGCATAGAAAAAAAACAAACAAAAAAAAACCCCAAAAAACCAAACCAAACCCCACAAAACAAAACAAAAAAGGAAAAAACAAAACCAAAATAAAAAATCCCCAACCCAAAAGCAGAAGATACTTACAGCGTGCAAGCAGGGCAGGACCTGCACTCTGGGCCCATGAGGATGGAGGGACGCAGATGGAGAACATAAAATACCAGGGGGGACCCCTTGGTGGGGTGGGGGAGAAATGAGAGAACTAGAGGACAGCATGGGGTTTTTGTTTTTATATACAAGACACATTTATCCATTAAATTTAGAACACGGTACAAAAAAACCACTTCAACTAATTAATCTTACAATGCTGCTCATATCAATTACTGGTCTTAATCCTAATAATAAGGGGGTTTGCTGTAGGCGACTCGCAGCTTCCACTCCTTTGGATCTGAGAGATTCTGGGGCAGCTGGATGGGAGAGGGGATAGAAAGGAGTAAAAACCAAAAAAGGCCCCTACGGCAAACGGTTCAGATCTGAATGCGGAGAGAGAGGAAAAAAAAAAAAAAAAAGGAAAAAGAAAAGAAAAAAATACAAATTCTATATTACATACAACAGGAAAGTGGCTGAAGACAGACAACGCAGAGGTGCCTGCGGCCTGCCCTGCGGGGCCCTGCCAGGGCTGGGGCCCGGGTGCTCCCCGCCACAGGGCTCTCTCCTCCCTGGGATCCTTCCTTATCATCGGGGTCACTGGGATTCTCTTCTGGAAGCAAGTGGTGGCGAGAGGGCCCAGCCTCAGTTGGCACCCCAGCTGTAGCTGTTGTAGGCAGACTTGTTGGCCTGGGATTTCTGGGGGATGGAGCTGCCTTGGCTGCGCTGCCCGGAGCCGCTCTGTGGGAAACGGGAGAAGAAGAAGTGGGTGGTGAGTAGAGGGGAACCACCCCCAGCCTACTCCACAGGGCAACATTGGCATGCCTTGGTCCCAGAAGACGGCCCTGGCCAGGTACTCTGGGAGACAGCTCCTCGGCAGCTGCCGATCTGCCTCAGCCCAGTTGAGTTCCCTGGTACTGAGGCTGCCTCCAGCACCTCGCAGCTGCGCCACCTATGCCCCAGCACCCTCCCTCAGCTCCACACCTTGCTCCAGGCCAGCAGCACACAGGGCCATGGGCAGCAGGGAGAGGGGAGACGGGGAAGGGTCAGTGTGGGTTGTGTCTGCGCGCAGGTGTGCATGTGTGTGTCTATGCACATACTGACTGAGGGCCTCTCTTCTCACCTTGCAGGGCCATGGGGGAGAAGGAAGGGGCTATGTGATCCTGGGGAGCCTTAGGGGCGGGAGCAGAGCCCAGGGCAAGTGCAATGCATTTTCAGAGAGTTCATTACCTGATCTTCCTGCTGGCGTTGGTAGCACAGTATCATCTGCAAATATGGAAGCTGTTGCAGTACCAGGATATGTAAAATAAAGGGACAAACTATGACAATAGAAATCCACCGTTAGACCTGAAAGCTCCTGCAGGGTTGTGGCTATGGCAAGTAACCCCTTTGGAAGCTGGCCTGTGGAGCTGCCCCTCTGAGGATGGGGGAGGTTGGGGTGCCCCAGATGCGTCTGTGTCAGGGACTACCTGGATATATCCAGGTGCAGCCCGGCAGCAGGGGGGTTGTGCTGAGTACCCACCCTGGCAGAGCGCACCCCAGGCCTTCCTTCTCACCTTATCCTCTTACCAGCCCTGTGTGTATGTGCAGGTGTGAGCATGTGCATGTCACTGCGTGTGTCTGCTGCAGAGCATGAGGGAGGGAGGCAGGGAGGGAGAGAGGGACCAGGGAAGTAAAAGGGGAGCAAGAGCCCTAGGAGATACCCCAGCAAGGGGCTGAGGTGCCAGGGGTATTGCTTACCTGCCCATCCTGCTGCAGGTGGTGGTGGAGGATCTGCGAGTGAGGCTGCTGATGCGGGGTCAGGATGTGCATGAAAGGGGTGGGGGGGTATGCCGCTGCTGTTGCAGGGTTGATGGGGCCGCCGCTGCCCAGTGCTGAAGGCAGGTTGAAGGAGGCTGCTGGGGTTCCAGTGTGAAATCCCTGCTTCTCAAAGGATTGCTAAGAAGGAGATACCAACAGCAAAATAAGGGCTGGGGCACAAGCTGGCAGTTTGCCCCTCCCCATCTCTACACATCACAGGCCCAGAGTCAGCATGTGGTACAGGGAACAGATAAGAGTCTCTTCCTATGGCTCTTTCTGGGCTTGGAATTCCTGTAAGCTGGGAAAGGTCACGCATTTCCCTTCTCCCTGGCCAACTGATCTAAGGGGAGGAGAATTCATTGCCCAGGGAGGCTGTCTCAGAGCTTGGCTTCTCCTCCCCAGCAATACAGGAAGAACTCACAGACACTAACCTGAGTTTTGGAGTACACAGAGCCCGAGATGTCTGGCACACCTGTATTACTGGATGTCACAGATACACCTGGGGAGAATGGAGAGGTGGGTGTTAGGCAGCAGCCAGTAGGTCAACAGTAGCTGCTTGCTGCTAACACCAGCAGCACCTGGTGGTGAGCTCCAGTGGTCAGAGATCTGCAGACAGACTGGCCTGGGCAGCAAGGCCCTGGCATGACTACATACAAAGCATCCATATAAGTTATTTTGCTCTGGACACACACTGTTTCAAAATGCTTCCAGAAACCAGCTGAAGGGCTGGCTGCCACCCAGAGAAACACGTGGAAAATAGCAGGTCTGAGGAGAGCTGGGGAACGCAATGGACAGACAGGGCAACAAACTCACAGCATGTGGCACAGCAGTAAGAACAGCCCTAAAGCTCCTCAAGTGTAAAACAGGCAATTGCATGAAAAGCAAGTCAGCTGTGGGCTGGGATGGCTGGTACAGTGATCGACAACACAAGGCCCATGGGATACTGGCTGTCCATAAAAGATGGTGGCCCAGAGGACACCTCAGCCATCATTTAATGCCTGGAAAAAGTGCTGAAACCAAAGCTGTTTGAAGGACTCAGCACCAGGTCACCTGGTACAAAGCTGAAATATCTTCACAAAGAGAAAACACTATCTTTAAGGGCTCTAATGCAGTGAAAACAGTGACAAAAGGAATTTGAAGACTGGAAGAGCTTAAAAGAAGACGGAAAGCCCTGCATAAGTCAGCCAGACACCAACCAAGTACCAAGACAGATGGCAGGTTCATGACCTTCCTGCATCTTTGAATTAAGGACTTCCCTAGAAAGTGCCTGCCAAACGCTGGTGGGAAACAAGTTCAAATCCAGAAAAATTCTGTTAATCACATATAAGCAGTTAAAAAACCAACAAACCAAACAATTCAGCATCTTTAGCTCCTGATAGTGGTCCAAGGGCCAACACAGCTGACTGCAGGGCACAGAGGAGAGTGTGAAGTGATCTATAACCCCCAAACCCAGAACAGTCCTGGGCCTTTTCTAAGGATAATCAAACTACTTGGGAGCAGCACCCTGGCATTTTTCTCTATTACTGCTGTAAAACAGTAGTCCCTATCACAGCCAGTAAGATTAGGAGCAAGCCCTGCTGCTGTGGAAAATGCTCTTGTGGGTCTCTTACCAGTGCTGTACCCATGAGAGCCATAGCCACTGGGCTGCTGGAAAGGGGTTGCTGATGCATTGACGCTGACATTCACACCATGCTGCTTGGAAGAGGTAGGAGCAACCTAGAGAACAGAGAGGAACAGAGTGAGAAGAGGCTTTTCTGTGCCACCCTTCTGTCCAAATCCCACACCTTGCCTCTGGGAAACTTACAGGGAACACGGCGGGCCCATACTGGAAGGTGCTGGGGAGCCCTGGTACCCCTGTGTAGTATGGCAGACTGGTGTAACTGTAGCCAGGAGGCAGCGCCGGGTTCAGGAACGTCTGCTGCGTGGTGTGGTGAGTTTGGGTCTGGCTCTGCTGGGGCTGTGCCAGAGTTGTTGCAGGAGCAGGGGAAGAAGCATCACCACGGCCAAATTTTGTTAAGTCACCTGAAATACAGGAGGCAAGAGTGAAGAACAGATCCTGGCCCATTCCAACTCAAGCCCAAAGGTGATCCATTCTTTCAATAAACAGTGACTTTAATCACCTCTCCACCCCCACCTCCTGCCAGTGCCAAAGAATGTGCCCCTCAGACCTTTGC